AAAAAAAAAAAAAAAAAAAAAAAATTATAGCCTGAATATCAGCTTTTAGTTAAGCCAACTTCTGACCAGAAAGCTCTTTTTAAAAATCCTTTGTGGCCAGGCGCAGTGGCTCACACCTGTAATCCCACCACTTTGGGAGGCCAAGGCAGGCAGATCATGAGGTCAGGAGTTAGAGACCAGCCTGGCCAACATGGTGAAACCCCGTCTCTACTAAAAATACAAAATTTAGCCAGACGTGGTGGTGGGCACCTGTAGTCCCACCTTCTCGGGAGGCTGAGGCAGGAAAATTGCTTGAACCCAGGAGGCGGAGGTGGTTGCAGTGAGTCAAGATCACGCCATTGCACTCCAGCCTGGGCGACAGAGTGAGACTCCATCTTAAGAAAAAAAAAAAAATCTTTTTTTTTTTAATTTTTTGTTTGAGATAGGGTCTTACTCTTCACCCAGGTTGCAGTGAAGTAGAGGGATCTCAGCACACTGTAACCTAGGCCTCCTGGGCTCAAGGGATCCTTCCTCCTCAGCCTCCTGAGTTGCTGGAACTACAGTCGTGCACTACAATGCCTGCCTAATTTTTAATTTTTTTGTAGAGATGGGGTCTCGCCACGTTGCTCAGGCTGTTTTAAATCTTTTATTATCAGGCCAGGCATGGTGGCTCAAGCCTGTAATCTCATCACTTTGGGAGGCCAAGGTGGGTGGATCACTTGAGGTCACGAGTTTGAGACCAACCTGGCCAACATGGTGAAACACTGTCTTTATTAAAAACACAAAAATTAGCTGGGCATGGTAGTGGGTGCCTGAAATTCCAGCTATTTGGGAGACTGAGGCAGGAGAATCACTTGAACCCAGAAGGTGGAAGTTGCAGTGAGCCAAGATCACGCCACTGAACTCCAGCCTGGGCAATAGAGCGAGACTCCATCTCAAAAAAAAAAAGCGGGGGGGTTGTTTCAGAATAAATGAATGGAGGAAAACAATGGTATAGATAAAACTAAATAGATATGAAAAGTTGAGCAAAGAGGCTCTGCCGCCACCACCGGGAGCCCTGTACTATCAGTCATGGTCAACCCCACCATGTTCTTCGACATCACCGTGGATGGTGAGCCCCTGGGCCGCGTCTCCTTCGAGCTGTTTGCAGAAAAGGTTCCAAGGACAATAGAAAACTTTTGTGCTCTGAGCACTGGACAAAAAGGATTTGGTTATAAGAGTTCCTACTTTCACAGAATTATTCCAGGGTTTATGTGTCAGGGTGGTGACTTCACATGCCATAATGGCACTGGTGGCAAGTCCATCTACGGGGAGAAATTTGAAGATGAGAACTTCATCCCATAGCATACAGGTCCTGGCATCTTGTCCATGGAAAATGCTGGATCCAACACAAACGGTTCCCAGTTTTTCATCTACACTGCCAAGACTGAGTGGTTGGATGGCAAGCATGTGGTCTTTGGCAAGGTGAAAGAAGGCACGAATATTGTAGGGGCCATGGAGCGCTCTGGGTCCAGGAATGGCAAGACCAGCAAGAAGATCACCATTGCTGACTGTGGATAACTCTAGTAAGTTTGACTTGTGTTTTAGCTTAACCACCAGACCATTCCTTCTGTGCTCTCCTCTCAGGAGAGCACCCCTCCACCCCCATTTGCTCGCAGTATCCTAGAATCTTTGTGCTCTCGCTGCAGTTCCCTTTGGGTTCCACGTTTTCCTTGTTCCCTTCTATGCCTAGCTGGATTGCAGAGTTAAGTTTATGATTATGAAATAAAAACTAAATAACAACAACAAAAAGCTGGGGAAAGAAAAGAAAGAATGAAAACAAATTCTAAGAGGTTATAAAAGGTTTATGGAAATTTTATCTTGTGTAGTCAAAGCTGATCAAGATTAGACAGATTTGTTTGTAAAGTTTATTAAAATTAGCATCAGTATTAAAAGCACATTAATATATAGCATATATTATATATATTATATGTATTTTTTATTTTACTTAATGATTTTGAGACAGAATTTTGCTCTTGATGCCCAGGCTTGAGTGCAATGGCACGATCCTGGCTCACTGCAACCTCTGCCTCTCGGGTTCAAGTGATTCTTCTGCCTCAGCCTCCAGAGTAGCTGGGATTACAGGCACCCACCACCACACCCGGCTAATTTTCTGTATTTTTAGTAGAGACAGGATTACACCATGTTGGCCAGGCTGGTCTCGAACTCTTGAGCTCAGGAAATCCACTCACCTCAGCCTCCCAAAGTGCTGGGATTACAGATGTCAGCCACCACATCTGGCCAAGTGTCTTATTTTCAAGGAGGCTCTTGGAAAGCATGGGAGGAATTCTGACAAATACAGGTTTCTGATAACTTCGAAATTGCATCATTGGACTGGGTAAAAATTTCCAAAGTCTAATGAAAATAAAACTGGACTCATAAAATTGCTAACCTCCAGACTAATGTTTTCCATTTTTCACCCACTCTTCTGACTTAGAATCACTAAAAATTAAAACAGCCTTTTTTTGACTTGGCGCAGTGGCTCATGCCTGTAAATCCCAGCTCCTTAGGAAGCCAAGTCAGGAGGATCCCTCGAGCTCAGGAGTTCAAGACCAACCTGGGCAACATAAAGAGACCCCACCTCAAAAAAATTTTTTAAAAATTAGCCAGGTGTGTAGTACATGCCTTTGGTTCCAGCTACCTGGGAGGCTGAGGTGGCAGGATGGCTTTGCCCAGGAGGTTAAGACTACAGTGAGCCATGATCACACCACTGCACTCCAGTTTGGATAACAGAGCAAGATCTTGTCTCAAAAAAACCCCAAAAAACTAAAAACTCTGCCTTTTTCCTAAGGCCTTACCAGCTAAAGCTAGTCAACTTGTCTTTGGGGAAAAAAAATAAATAAATAAATAAATAAATAAATAAATCACCGTAACATCTTATATTTGGACAAACTTTACACACAACCTACAATCTAGGAAAATAGATTGCTATTAATCTTCCCAACTGACTGCCCTCCAGACTCTAAAGAAACTAGTTTATACACTATACCAGATATTAAGCTTTGCCTTGTTCCATAGAAATGTCTCTCTTATTAAATCTGTTTGCCTACATCATGTATAGAGGCCTAGCTTTGAGAACTCATCTACAATGCCATCTCCTGAAAGGAGACACAGCAATTTAACTGAACTGGCCTATCCCCCAAAATGAGAGACTAGTTTAATGGGATCCTTTGCCGCTCAATGACTAGCCCAATTTCTCTCTCCACAGACACCAACTCAGCTTTTATAGGGAAACTTCTAAGGAAGTTTCAGACAAAGGAAATAAAGGAGACCAGGGACTCACAGCCCAAAATATGGCATCCTGTATGCTAATTATTTTAAATTAAAGGTCCCTGGATACCAGTAGATACTGGAAGCAGCTTTACTCTGATAACTACCTTATCTGCCTAAAGTCCAGACCTGTCAAAGAAGGAAACAATTACTTCTGGTCTCTTCCCTGAGTTTTCATTAACTTAACTCATAGTACAGGAGGAAAGACTGAAGCCTGTCAACACACCCGGACAGATTTTTGTCAGAAACCACTGTCTGCTTTGCAGGCCCAACAGTCATTGTCCCACGCCACTGTATGTTCTCCAGGCCACTGAATCACCCTAAAAGTCATTTACAATCCACCTTAAAATCACCCACATTTCCCCATCTCCCATACTCCTATGAAGAAGGGTATATAAGCCTCTGTACCCCACTGGGTCATTCTCCTTCAATTCCCTCATGCTATGCATGTTAAAATAAAATTTCTGTGTCTTTCTCCTATTAACGTGCCCTTTGTCGGCTGATTTTTCAACAAACCCTCAGAGAGCAAAGGGGAAGCTTTTCCTTGGCCCTTACATGCTATATAGCAGAGGGCAAAGTGCTTTAAGTTCATGTTCTGAGCAGTCCCTCCACCCATTCCAAGGAGGCACAGCAAGGAGCTTGGGACACTTCTCAAAGAAAGCCCAACAATTTCTTTACAACTTATTTTTTACAATTCCTTTACAGTAGCCCCAAAATTTTATCCACTTTCGCATCCTCAGGATCAAGCAGAGTGCCTAGAGTGTACACTCTAGAAATGTTGATTGAATTAAGAAACGGCTGACAGTGTGTGCAGGTAGTGTGGCCACAAGAATAGTTTCAAGTCCCAGACACTCATTAGTTGCATGACCTGGGGCAAGTCGCCTAAATATACCAAGATCCATTTCTTCACCAATGAAACAGGACTACTACTACTTGCCTTCCCTACCTTACTGGCTCCTCAGGAGGCTTTACATAATGAGCGGCACTGTAAAATGCTATACACGTATATGTACAGTTTTGACCGGGCTGTTTCTTAGTCTAAATGGTGAAATGGAAAGAAACCTGGACTCCATAGTCAGAAGCTGTTGGGTCGTTGTACAGGGCTACGACTAACAGGTTCCGTTTTCCCATATTAAACACAAAGTTTAGTCTCGACGATGTTTCGGACTCTGCACTTTATAGTCTGTTAAACCTGCTACAGGCTCGGAACCTCAGGTGTCCTCAGAAAGGTAAACCCCAGGGTTCCCAGATGCACCTGCAAGGGCAGGGACAGTCAAGGTCGCGGTACTAAGACGCGGGACGCTCACCCAGTCAAAGTCACACGGGTTACCGTCTTCGCGTTGGGTGGGCAAACCATGGCAGAGTGGCGGCAGTTTCCTCACGAGTAGGAAGGCAGCAGAGAGCAGGGCCGACAGAAGGTAGTAAGGTTGGGCAAGCCATCGTGAAAGTCGCGGCACCGAATACACCAGAGCAATTAGAGGAGCCAAGACCGCCATCTTTTCGGCCGCAAGGGCCACTGCTCACCGGCGTCGTAGGTCCGGCCCCGCCTCCCCCACCATAGCGACTGCTATTGGGCTACATCTCAAACGTACGGCCTCTAAACCCGGATGTAGTTCTCTCAACGCTGTGGTATGTCAGAACCCAAAAAAGAACTTAATATTTTATTGGTTGGTCTAGCTGTCGCTTTATCAGCTTAAGTCATTTTATTGGACTGTAGCTAACGTAGCTAGCAGAAGACTCTAATAAGGTTAAATAGCACTTCCTGAACGTTCTCAGAGAGCGACGGAAGTAGTTGTTGAAACAAGGTAGGCGGTGCCTGAGGCATCCAATGACAAGCGGTTCCTTGAGAAAGAGGGGGGTATTCCTTAAAAGCATTGTCCAATGAAAATTACCAACGCCAGACACCGAGACAGCGCCGGGGCGGAGGGGACGATGGAGAATTTCACGGCACTGTTCGGGGCTCAGGCTGACCCACCACCGCCCCCAACCGCACTAGGCTTCGGACCAGGAAAGCCTCCACCCCCGCCACCGCCTCCTCCGGGCGGGGGACCCGGCACGGCTCCGCCTCCCACCGCGGCCACGGCCCCTCCCGGCGCGGACAAGTCAGGAGCTGGCTGTGGCCCTTTTTACCTCATGAGGGAACTGCCAGGTGAGTACTCGGCCTTGCCAAAGCCAGCCAATCAAATCTTAGAGAGGAGGTGTTGGGCGTGGCTCTCAGCCGGCTAACGGAGGTGCGAGGTAACCTAGGCAACGCATACCCGGAGTGTGGAGCCATAAGTCAAAAGGGCTATTAGGATTCACAAGCAGAGGGATGAGTTGAATTCAACCAGGATGAGTTGAATTCAACCAAAGGGATGAATGGCGGGGAGCGGGGTGGTGCATCTCCGTGACTGTCTTTTGCACCATGTCCAGGCTGTGTTCCTGACACTGGTTTATGTCTCCCTAAAAAATGATCTAGGGCTGGGCGCAGTGGCTCACGCCTGTAATCCCAACACTCTGGGAGACGGAGGCCGGCGAATCACCTTAGGTCAGGAGTTCGAGACCAGCCTGGCCAACATGATGCAACTCTGTACTAAAAACACAAAAATTACTTGGGCGTGGTGGCGTATACCTTTAATTCCAGCTACTCGGAACCCGGGAGGCGGAGGTTGCATTGAGCCGAGATTGCTCCACTGCACTCCAGCCTGGGCGATAGAATGAGACTCCGTCTCGAAACAAAAACAAACAAAAAATCAAGAGTTTGAGTTTGGAACTCGAGAGGCCTGATTTAATATCTTTGGGGACCTAAAGTTTTAGTTACAAGTCTCCCACAGACTTGCTGTGGGTTTGGGGCAAGTTGCCACTCTTCCAAGGTTTCTGCGTTTCCTGGTGTCATCAAAGAAGGGGTAAGAATCGAACCAAACTCTTTTCATTCAAAAAATTATTTTGTTGAGTACCTGTGTACCAAGCACTTTTCTAAATGCTGGAGATACAGTTGTGAACAAGACTGACGAGATGCTTGCCTTTTTTGGAATGTACATTTCAGTGTAGGAGGCATTGTAAACAAGATAATGTCAGAGAGTGGTTAATGCTAGGAAGAGGAAACATTATAAAAAATTGAAGGTGGCCAGGCGCATTGCTCACGCCTGTAATCCCAGCGCTTTGGGAGGCTGAGGCAGGAGGATCCCTTGAGCCCAGGAGTTTGAGACCAGCCTGGGCAACATGGCGAGACCCAGTCTCTACAAAACATATAAGATTAGCCGGCCGTGGTAGTGCTTGCCTGTAGCCCCAGCTACTCAGGAGACTAAGGGAGGAGAATTGCTTGAACACAGGAGGTCCAGGCTGCAGTGAACCAAGATTGTGCCACTGCACTCCAGCTTGGGCAACAGATGAGACCCTGTCTCTTAAAAAAAAAATTGAGGGTCAGAACTACTTTAGCTAGAGTGGCCAGAAATGCTCTCTCCACATAGCTAAAATTTGAACTAAAATGTAAGCATAGACAAAGGGCCAGCCAGCTATGGACAGGAGGGAGAGATAATTCTAGATACAGGAAATGAGGTCAGAAACCCTGATGTGAGAAAAAGCTTAGAATATCTGAGGAACAGAAAATCAGTTGGACTCCAGTGAAGTGAACAAAAGGAAAGAGTGTTAGGAGAGAGATGAAGCTGGGAGAGTTAGGCAGAGGCTTTTATAAAGCAATAAAGGCATTTAGATTGTAAATACAAAAGGAAGCCATTTAAAACAATTTTTTATAGAGACAGGGTCTCACTGTGTCACCCAGGCTGGACTGCAGTGGTACAGTCATAGCTCACTGTAACCTCCAATTCCTAGGCTCATGCTGTCCTCCCACCTCAGCCTCCCAAGTAGCTAGGACTACAGGCATGCGCCACCACAGTTGGCTAACTTAAAAATTTTTTGTAAAGACTGGGTCTTACTGTGTTGCCCAAGCTGGTCTTGAACTCCTGGCCAACGACAGTCCTTCTGCCTTGGCCACCCAAAGTGCTAGGATTATAGGCCTGAGCCACTGTGCCCAGCCAAGGAAAGCCATTTTAACATAGGAACTTGGTCAAATGTACTTATTTAGAGAAGTAAATGGATACAGGGTGTTAGACGTAGAGCTGACAGGGTTGAAAAGCTGAATATAGGGCCAGGTGCTGTGGCTAACGCCAGTAATCCCAGCACTTTGGGAGGCTGAGGTGGGAGGACTGCTTGAGCCCAAAAGTTTGAGCCCAGCCTGGGCAATATAATGAGACCCCATCTCTACAAAAAATAAAAGTAAATTAGCTAGGGATAGCAGCGCACACCTGTAGTCTCAGCTACTTAGGAAGCTGAGGTGGTAGAATCACTTGAGCCCAGGAAGTTGAGGCTGCAGTGAGCCGTGATTGTGCCACTGTGCTCCAGCTTAGATGACAGAGGAAGAAGCTGTCTCAGTTAAAAATACATATTGTATATAGAAGTGAAGGAGATAGAGGAATTGATGCCTTTTTAAGTTTTCAGCTTGAATAATTGGGTGTATGGGTACGGAGACTTGGAAGATGAGGAAGGAACAAGTTTGAAGAGGTGGAAATCAAGAGTTGTTTTGGACATGTTTGGTCTCCAAGATGCTGCCTTTCTCTCTCTTTTTTTTTTTTTTTTTTTCTCGTGAGACAGAGTTTTGCTCTTGTTGCGCAGGCTGGAGTGCAATGGCGCAATCTTGGCTTACTGAAACCTCCACCTCCCAGGTTCAGGCGATTCTCCTGCCTCAGCCTCCCGAGTAGCTGGGATTACAGGCATGTGCCCCCACACCCAGCTAGTTTTTTATTTTTAGTAGAGACGAGGTTTCTCCCTGTTGGTCAGGCTGATCTCAAACTCCCAACCTCAGGTGATCCACCCACCTTGGCCTCCCAAAGTACCAGGATTACAGGTGTGAGCCACCACGCCTGGCCTCCCAGATGCCTTTCATTGTCTCAGGTCTTATTTCCGCATCATGACTTGAAGGAAGTAGCGACAGATATTGGTATGGTACTTCAAAGTTCACAACACATATGAAGTAGTATTTAATACTTAGAATAGCCCTTTGAGGTAGCATTATTATATACATTTTATAATTGAAAAAACTGAAACATGGAGAAGTTGACATCCCTTTGATTAGTTAGTGGTTGATGTCCACCAGCAGTTTCCTTTAATCTTTCTTTTGCCTTCCCTATTCTGATTGTAGCTATTTGTATCAGTCAGTTGACAGATTGAATATCTGTTATGGGCAAATGCTGGGTGTATGAGGAGGGTGAGATGGAGAGAGAGATTAGTAATGCTGGTCATTGCTTTTCAAGGAGTTTAGTTAGGAATGTAAAATTTGTGGTTTAAGGATAGTGACTATATTTCCTGTCAACTCCATCTCATTTTGTGCTCATGCCTTACAACAGCAATTAACAATATCTTTTTTTTTTTTTTTTTTTTTTTTTGAGACAGAGTCTGGCTCTGTTGCCCAGGCTGGAGTGCAGTGGCCGGATCTCAGCGCACTGCAAGCCCCGCCTCCCGGGTTCACGCCATTCTCCTGCCTCAGCCTCCCTAGAAGCTGGGACTATAGGCGCCCGCCACCACGCCCGGCTAATTTTTTTTGTATTTTTAGTAGAGACGGGGTTTCACCGTATTAGCCAGGTCTCGATCTCCTGACCTCGTGATCTGCCCGTCTCGGCCTCCCAAAGTGCTGGGATTACAGGCTTGAGCCACAGCGCCCGGCCAGCAATTAACAATATCTTAGCCATCAATATTAAGAACTATCTAATGGTTTTCAAAGTGTGTTGCTATCCAAAATGACAGTAAGAATAAAATGTCACTTGAGCTAGACCTTGAATAATTCATGTTGGTGAAGAAAAATTAGGAAGAATTTTCCTAAAATGAAATAATGTGAGGGGTGTGTTTTTGAGGCGATAGGGAGATTCATTTGGACAGATCAGAAATTTTGCATAGAGGAGTAGTGGTTGATGAGGCCCCAAAGCTAAGTTGGAGTAAGATGTAATTAGCCTTGAGTGCCAGTCAAAAGGAATTTGAGTGTTCTCCTGAGGGCAAAAAGAAACCATTAAGATTTGTGAACCGAGGAGTACTGCTTTCCAAAAATATCTGGAACATGTGGGTGCCGTGGATTGAAATAGAGAAGCCATGAGTGATGTTGGCAAGGTTTGGAATTTCAAAACGAAAAAAAATTTTTTTTTTTTTAAATCTTGTTGGGCAGGGTGGTTCATGCCTGTGATCCTAGCACTTTGGGAGGCTGAGGCAGGCAGATTGTTTGAGTCTAGGAGTTCAAGACCAGTCTGGGCAACATAGGGAGACCCCTGTCTCTACAAAAAGTATAAAAATTAGCCCAGCATGGCAGTGTATACATGTAGTTCCAGCTACTTGGGAGGCTGAGGCAGGAAAATAGTTTGAGCCCAGGATGCAGAGATTACAGTGAGCCAAGATCGTGCCATTGCACTCCAGCCTGGGTGACAGAGCGATACTATCTCAAAAAATAAATAAATAAAAATTAAAAATAACCCTTGTAGAATAGTCAAAACTGGAATATGAACTCTCAAGTTTAGAAAAAACCCAGACTGCCTTCTCACCTGGGTCTTAAGGATAACCATCTGGACAGAGG